CTTTTGTAGGCCTACGCTTCTGTCTCTGTAATTTTAGAAAATCCGCTAGGTTTGTTTATTTCAAGTCGTATTTCCGTTCGATACTATCGCGCATTGTCGCGCAATACTGAGCTCTATTTTAAGTATTACCTGTATTACCTGTCCCGGGCAACAACGTCATTGCACACCGGACAGGTCCAGAAGTGCTCAGTTCCCCCCAGCACCAAAGCCCGCAAGGTATCGATACTGATTGTTCCGGTGGCTGTCTGATTATGGCGACGTCTTTCCTCTCCAGAAAATCGTTCCTTTCTTCCTTCTCCCCTCTCTATCCCCATTTCCCGCATCCTAATGACTGCGTGGTGCTCTGCTGTCTCCTTGTCTTCTTCATCCTGCAACTTTTTCTCCAGGGTCTTCAACACTTCTCCTTTGTCAAATTTCATCTCACCATCAACCACGGCACTGCCTGCCGGCCTATCAGCCTCCTCATTGCCTTTCACTCCAGAGTGCCCAGGACAGAATATCAACATGATGGCTCTAAGTGGTGAGTGTTGTATTGGGTTCATCCATTCACTCCGAAGAAGCCCTTTCTCAACCCTTGGCAAGATGCTCTGGGAGTCCGTGACAATGATGAGACGAGTTGTTCTTGGTCTCGTATTATGAAGCCATCCTAGCGCTCTTGTTACGGCCTCAATCTCCATTTTCATGCTTTAAGTGTGCGACCCATATAGATCTCAATCATCGCTTTTTCTGGACTCCTTTGTCAAATTCTTTTTCTTGCTACTGGGAACAACGTCAATAGATCTTAGATAAGAATCTAGATCTAGATCTAGATAGCGCCTGACCATGCCGAAAAGAAAAGAAAGTTCTGCAGTTGGAACCCCTCGAGCTCGCCAGGGTCGAGGTGGTCTAGATCAACAACAAAATGATGGGGACTCTCTAGATCTACATCTCCCAAAAGCATTCATCTACATTGTCAATTCCTTTCAGTACGTGTGCTACATTGGGGAACTGACGACACAGTGTACACACTGCCTGGCCATAAGGTTTTCATATGAAACACAAGGTATGTTCTGTAGCAATGGCAAAGTTGATCTGCATCCATTTCCAAAACCACCTCCTGATCTGCAAATCCTTCTGTCTGGTGTGTCGACACTGTCCACTCACTTTCTGGAGAAAATCAGGCTGTACAACAATTGCTTTCAGCTCACATCCATGGGCTATACCGATGCAACCCTCAATGGATGGAATCCACAATTTCGCCTGCAGGGTCAAGTATATCATCGCATTGGCTCTCTCCTTCCTGTCCCCCAAAATGAGCATTCATTTCTGTAAGTTTATTTCTTGGAAAGTGATGCAGCCTCAGAGCGCAGAAACAGTATTTTCCAGTTACTTGAGCCTGGGATCATTTCTGACCTTCAAGCCATGTTGCATTGCCATAATTCGTATGTCATAATCTGAAATGTACTTATGAATTTGCCCGCTCACATTTCGAATAGTCTGTACAAGTGTCATGCAATGTGTCGTGGGCCTAGGTTAATTTGTCAAGGAGCTAAAATTGTTGTAACGCTGTCAGAGGAAAGCGAACAAGCTATAGACACCGCCTATGTGATTTTGAAGACGTCGGTGTGTTCCTTTTTCAGTGTAGCAGCCCTTTCGTAGATTATTATTTTCTTAGTGCTTTTTTGTGATGGTGTAAGACGAAATCCGTATTTTGTGATTGTGAAGGGCTAGACAGCAATACACTAAAGCAATGTAGATCAAGAAAGAAGTTAATCAAGGCAGACTTAAACTAAAGCAATATAGATGTAGAAGCCAGGTATGACTGTGAAATGCTAGACAGCAAGGTACCGGTACATGTAGATGTAAAATGTCTCTGCGGCGTAGACCAGTAGGAGCAGTGATGCCAAGGCGTCGACCCCGAGCAAAGCCGGGTGCTCAGCAGCTAGTCTTCTTCTATGAGCACTCGAAACCCGCTGTGAGAAGACGGTCAAAGGCGTGAGACCGAAACCGGGAGTTCCCGTAAACCTACTTAAGTTAATGTGTAACTGAAAACAAAATATACCTTGGACGCAGTCGGCACTCCGCAGTGAATATACAGTGTCGAAGCAAATGATGGCGATCGCTACAAAAGGACTCAATTTAACTTAAAATGGGCTTTCTTCTTACTCTTTTGATCGTAATGAAAATACAATAGTGCAACACTACGTTTCAAGTAATGGGCACTGGCAAAGTTTCATATTTTTTCATTCGGTAGTTTCTGAGAAAATACTGTTCGCAAAATTTGGCCTTAGCTCCATTAGTGGTAAGATAACGATAATAATAATAAAAATAATAATAATAATGATAATAATAATAATAGTAATAATAATAATAATAATAATAATAATAATAATAAATAGCATTTGCATAGCACATGTCCCCGCTCGAAAACAACTGTTTTACACTAAATTATTACCTCAGCAGACTATAGAACACTCAGAATCATTCTCAGCTTCTCGGGAAGCATACAGTGCAAGCAGCCGGTTAAGCGCTCAAACACTAACAAACTGACAAGATCTTTCAAGTAGATGAAGAATGACGATAGTAAGGATGAGAAGGAAAAAGCAGCAGTTCCCCCTATGTCGTTCCGGCACAGTATAGTAATAATAATAATAATAATAATAATAATAATAATAATAATAATAATAATAATAATAATAATAATAATAATAATAATAATATTAATAATAAATAGCATTTATACTGCGCATTTCCATTTTCTAAAAGATGCTCAATGCGCATTACAACGTAAAAGACATCACATCTTAAAAATCAATTGCCTTGTGTGTACGTAAAACAAAGTATTATACATATAATATAAATGCATATGTGTAAAAATTTCTGTGAGAAAAACAGTCTCGCAGTGAGGTTGGAAATGTGTTCACTAAAAATATACATTGCAATAAAAATTCACGAACGGTCACAATAAAGTTGAAACGTGAGTAACTAGAAACATTCATTAAAACATTCGTTCTATTCCGATAGAAAAACATTTCTGTACTCTCTCTCTCTCTCTCTCTCTCTCTCTCTCTCTCTCTCTCTCTCTCTCTCTCTCTCTCTCTCTCTCTTTCTCCCTCTCTCTCTCTCTCTATCTCTCTCTCTCTTTTCTCTCTCTATTTCTCTCTCTTTCTCTCTCTC